TGTGTCTTAGCTCCTGTCCTGTTAAATATATATCTTCATGCAACGATGTTTTGATGCGGCTTGTGCTTACGGCGTTCGTGTGGAGCACCGTATTGATGGTGGGCTGCCGAACATTCGTGGTTTCGGTTTGAGAACCCTAGTCTGTGAGACCATTATCCGTATGTTGCTGTTTGCTGACGACTGTGCGTTGTTTTCACACAACGCGGATGAGTTGCAGCACATGACTAGTGCTCTGGCTTCGACAGCGGCCAAATTCGGGCTCACCATCAACACAAGCAATAATGTCTGTAGCTTTCAGCCTTCACCGGGGGTGCGATCTTCAATATTGCCGCGAATCAGCATTGGTGTTGAAGTATTGGAAACCACATCCCGCTTCTCCTACCTTGGGCGTGTGATGTCGACTGATCAGCAACTGCACATTGAGTTGCGTTTACGCATGTGGAAGGCAGCAGCGGTATTCGTGAAGCTAGAGTACCGAGTGTGGAACAACCATCAGCTTACCATTGGCACGAAGCTGGTGGTGTACAAATCCATGGTGCTGTCTGTTCTTCTATACGGCAGTGAAACGTGGACGATGTACCGGCGGGATGTGCGATATCTTGGGCTGTTCCATCAGGAGTTGTTTGCGACGGACTTTGCGCATCTGTTGTTGCGACAGAGTTGCTGACACGGAAGTGTTGCGACAAAGTGGGATGTATGCAGTGGACTACATACTTTTACTGAGACACCTGAGGTGGCTTGGTCATGTGTGGCGTATGAATTCGACGCGGATACCGAAACAACTCTTATACGTTCATCTGAGTATTGGAAAGCGGCATGCGGTGAAACCAAAGTTACGTTATCAGGACATGATCAAAGTGAGCATCTCACGTTCTAATCTTGATTGCAGGTGATGGGAATCGAAGGCGGTTGATCGGCGTGCGTAGCGCGATCTGATTACGAAGGCGGTTGCCGAGGTGCAGGAGAAAGACCTCATGCATGCAGAGAAGAAGCGGCAAGTGCGGAAGTGGCAAATACCGATGGATTATACTCCATCGACATCGAGCGCATGGTGCTGTAGCATATGCGGTCGCGAGTACCTGAGTCAGGTAGGCCTAGTGAGCAATGAGCGAGGCCACTCGGGACTACTACCGAAGCGACGACGTGTCCTGCAGAGAATTTAGGCAGAACCAGCGCAGCGTTTGTAGGCACGCTGCATTCGATTTACTAACCGCGTGCTTGCATGCTAAATCTATTTATTTCAGATGGTGGGTTTTCAATTTTGTCCTAATGCTTTTCTTTCTCATATAAATGTCTACCTGTTCTATCTTCTATAAACTTGCACACGTCACTGAAGCCAATTGTAGTTAATTTCGATAACATTTTCGTGTTTGTGTCATTTCAGTAAAATATACTTTCCGATCTCGTGAACTTATCTCGGATTCTTTTGTAAACAACTTATTTCATATGCTCATTAATGTAAGATTTATGTCACCGTTTCCTTATGCATTACTTGATTTATTTTCTTTGTTATCTTTCACATAAGTGATTGGCTGTTGCCTGATATCCCGTGGAGCTGCGCTTGATGTGTATGTTGACAAGGTGCCTACCTGTCTATTACCCACCACCTCGTCCATACTGGCTCTAGGAGACAGTTGGTCGTTGCTGGAGGGGACGGGATGCGCGGTCGTTGCGGCCGTGTTAGGTCAGAGTGGTTTCATGCACTCAGTGTGGAGCGGACTACAGTCCAGCTACCGCCGTATGCGCTTGATTCCCCAAATACAGGGTGCTTGTGTTTGCTTGTGAAGGAGTGTGGGCCGGCTCCGTTGATGAAACGTGGCTCCCATCCACATGCCCCCCGGTCTTATTCCTTGGGTTTACACTGGGTATGGGGTGTGTGCTTGGAGCTGTGGGTGGTGCACGGCGAGCCATCCATTGTCTCTGTGTATGCGCAGGCGTCCTGTGGCTGGCCACAGTGACAATCGAATCCGAAACCGGATGCCGTCAACAATATCACCATGGTTGTGTATCTTGGGTTAGCTCGGATGACTGTGGGATCTTGTAATGACTCCTAAGCTATCCTCTGCGTCTTTATTTCACAATGTTTTTAATTATGCTGAAGCTCCGAGCCATTCATATGTTACAAGGTACACGCGGGATGTTTTGGTCTTCCTCCTTGAGGTCTTATGTTGCGACTGATTTCCCCTCAATTCTTTTTAAATATTATAAATGACCAAATCCTATTCGCCTCTTTTAGGCTAATGCCGTTGATAATGTGAGTAGGTGCTCTTCCGTTCGCCCTTTTGTCGAAGTGATTTATGCCTTAACTAGAGGCCTATCGGTATTTTGATGCTTATCTTCAACATTATCACATCCAGTCTGTTTTATTACGTTCGCTTAGCTTTACAATGTTGTCAGTTGCTTCATGCTAATAAGCCTCTAATACTATACTTTCCAAACATGATCTCTTTCCGTTTGTTTGGTCTGACCTGATCTGTAATAAGTCCATCCTGCGTTAACCTCTATGCTTCTTATGTTCATTTTTCTAATACCGCTATCTGGATCTTCAACATACGTTTATCCCATGTATTTGTTTTTTCCGTTATACCATATTACAAAACATTCAGAACCTAGGGAGAACCCTAATACTCGATCTTTTCTGTGCACTGGGCTCTGTGATGCTTCTCATGCAACTGTGCTCAGTGGTGCGGTTCATCCTCATTGCATTCTGTAAAATTTCATTCCCCAAAAGGGATCCACATAGCAAGTCATCGTGATCACAGCTTTACAGCCCAGAGTTCAATAATACAGCTGCCTAATAATACAAGTGATCACAGTGGCTAGTGCTTGATACAACCACTCTAGACCAATTCCGCTCACTACTGCACAACATTCGAAAATAGTGTACTCTCTAACCTACTGAAGCACGATCCTAATTCTTTGTATGTTCATCCCTTTTACGAGTCATCGGAGTCATTTCTTTCTTCCTCCTAAATATCGTAGATGACATGCCTAAAATGCACATACTGCGCATTCCGTATTTTGTCCTATTTTATCCACTGGATGGATCAATGTTAAATGAGACCACTCTTCAGGTCCTTAGTAGCGGCATTGGCGATACAGTTGTCAGTTGCCAGTTAAAATTTATCAACGTTAGTCTGCTTTCATCATAAGGTTCTGTACTTCATTCTGTACTTCATTGCATAACGCAACGGGCTAGTTGGCACAAGCCACTAGCAGTCATGGGTTCGATCCTCCGTAGAGGACCGAAGGATGCGCACCACTGACGAGCCCCAATAGGGCGAAACGGCCGTCTGGTGCTTTTCCGGATAGATGGTGGACTTATCCGAATTGTCGGCTGATTGCGACGAACAAAAGTACTTCATTCTAATTTGACACCCACCAGCGTCATTGCACCAACAGTAACAGAGCATTGTCATAGCGCACTCACTTTCGGACGCACTTTACCCTCTTCTTTCCTCAGTCGACTCTGCGACCGCCTCACGAGGTTCGGTCGCTTTTCTCGTTATGTCACATCTGGTTATCCTCAACCCAATCATCCAAGCTGCATTCCGTTAATCAAGTCAATCTCTCACCCACTTCGTCGACGCATCTCAGCACAGCACAGCGGTTTCCGCCGCTCTGTTATACTTCGGTGTCTTCAAGACATTGAGCGAAACGAAGGGTCCGGAACCCTATTCAAAAATCTTGTTCCTGCATTTTTGGCATTCTGCTCTCATGCGGTATCTATTTTTGTGTCTATCACGTGGGTCAGATGTTTTTCGAGAACCTTCCTACTGGTTACTCTGTGCGCTGCAGTCTGTGTTAGCATCACTGCTTCTTCGCTTACACGTTTGATCTGGTTTATTGGAACAGCTACAATTGTATTCACGCCACTTTCGGGAAGCGCAAATATCGCTCGACAAGGAAGGTGCTAGGCTGGCATACTCAATACTTGGCCGAAGAAACGTTTGTTGTTTCCAGGGATAACATGTTAGACGCAGGGACTGTTCACTCCACGACCTAACTGCAACACTTGACGACCTCATTCATACTCTGACGACGCGGATCATACTCCGATTTTCACAAATATTGCGAATAATAGAAGAGAATTCTCATGAAACTCGAAGCACCGATTCAGTCGCTCTATCCGAGAATAATCCGCCGCATTCTGATCAACAGAACCATTTTCATACTTTATGGTAGACTATAAGGAAATATATCACCGAAATTTGGCATTCACCCAGCTAGCGTCGAACGCTCGTTTCGCGATGTGCATCAACAATCGGTCCGAGGGAACGCAAATTTGGTAATCGACCACAGTTAGCAATTATGCGCTACAGAATTGTTCGCAAAAGAAACAGTGCAATGCGTGTAGTTATTCGATCGAATACTCAAATCGAACTAGAATTCTCACCTGTTATCATAACTATGTCATTACACTGTGGCGTATTTTATTTGATGCATTAGGACCTGTTACCGCTCAGATTGTAGTCGAAGTATTTTTCCCGCATTTATTACACTGATAATGCCAATTTGGGCTTACCTCGTGTATACTCGATAATAAACATTATTATTCACATGTATGAATAATTAGGCGCACTGCTCGCAGCTGTTATTTTTCTTTTATCTGGCTGCATTTAAAGGGAGTCGCTAAGCAAATTAGGGGTCCTCGAAGTAACCTGTCATAGGGTCTCTGGGTTATTGACGTCCAAGATCACTTGTTAATCCACCCGTCTGCATTCTCGTCACCACGGGCTTCATTCCGTTCAACTGGGAGGATCAGCTGCTCATCTTACGTTGCTGATTTAGCATCATACATTTCCGGGTATCGTTGGTCTTCGCTATCAAATATATGCGGTACGGAAGCATCCCCTGCAGTCATCAGAGTTTTCATACATTTTTACCGTAAGCTTTCGAACAATATTCGTTATTATTATTATGCCACGCTAAATTGAATATAAAATTTTCCCCACTCTGATCTATTTTTCATATTGTATTTTCATCTCCCACCCTTCCAGGTTATTCTCGCTTCAGATAGCGTCATTCGCTGGTCGACACTTACTATCGTTTAGTTGCACGGAATGGGCGCGGATCAGAGTTTTACCGTTTCCAACGTTTCACGAAAATCAAGTGAGTTGACGAAATTGATCGGCTTCGAACTCTGCTTTTGACTGATGTTGCCACTACCTTGACTTCCACTGCGTTGCCCGCTTTCTTTGGCTGCTACACTATTACCATGGTCTGGTGCGGATACTGCCAATCTGTCATACGTCCTGGCCTCATTGTTCTTTTCTTTCCACTCGTCTCTCGCCTTTTAGTCACTGCCCATCTGTGTACTCCACGCCCTTGTCCAATATTCTCATCAAACTACTTGTAACGAGCTTGCCGTCAAACATTTCATCGGAGACTTTTCCAAACTGCACGTTTACCATTAGATTTGCACACTCAGTCATCAAATTGATGGCACGGAATATTCGTCATATTGTACTTTCTGCTTGATAGAAACATGTATTTAAGAACCGTTTTATGTGCTAACATTACACTTCCATTTGATGTTTGTCCGTTTGCTCGCTACCCCCACAGCACTACCTCCTACATCTGTCACATGTTCAATTACCGCAGTCGCGCAGGTTGGGCCGATTCCAGTCAGTTGTCAGAAGATTTCCATCAACATACCATAATGGTTCGATATGCGGAGATCTATTGATATAATGCTGTCGTTATTGTAGCTTGCGCTGCTGTTTGAATGCATAACTAGTTGAATCCCGCCTTTAATCAAGAGTCTTCACTGCGGGGATCTCACCGACACTGAAATGCTTATTCAGTTGGGCTACTTAAGTGAATCTGTTCACTTTTTCTTCTCATGTGACCACTTTGAATGCTGCGCCAACCAGCGCGACGATACTGCTGCTATCCTCCACTAGCAATATGTTGATTGATCATAACCGGTAATGTTGTATAGTATTCATTGCCGAAATCCAACTCGCATTTTGATCACGTGTTTGTTTGGCGACATCTTGGTGCCAAACCTTGCACCTTTAAACACTCGCTTATACACTGTCCTACTTTTCGCACCTGTCGCGTCCATTTCTCATCAGTAGATCGTTGTTGCTTTGCGTCATCCGTATGCGATCTGGAATTACTAGGCTCCGAATTCCACTTTGCCTACGCTGTCTTCCACTCCGTTGGGTCTAGTGAGAGCAAGGACGAAGTTCTCAGCGGATAATTCTACTTAACATAAAGGAGATTTTCACGACAGGGCGCGGTCAGAAACTCACCAGTCGTTCGGAGAACCGCTAGACGGCCGCTTCGTCCTAGTTTGGGTTCATGGGCTGCATTTATTCTTTTCGGTTCCGTAATTATCCTTTAACACGAGGTAGTGTGTCAAAACAATGATCTATAAATGGCAATGATACGCGGGCACGAATAAGCTACCAGTTGCTTTAAGCTCCAAAATGATGACGCTACTGTCCAGTTCTTTTTAAATGCATATTGGACGTTTATCATGTTTAAGCTATGAGTATTCTTTTGCAGCTAATTCGAGCCTTCTGTTACATCTTGATAATTCGGTTTTATTCCGTCTCTTACGCAGATCATAATGATCTCTCAAGGTGTCTGGACTGCGATCAGAAACTTGGTGCCATTGTCGCCTATACTAACCACGTTTCCATGATCGCACTTTTCACGCAGCCACTGTACTAATTTGAGCGTTATTTTGCCGGTTACGGCAGCTATGAATCGACATAGCATTTTGTGGAATCCGTACGGGCGAATTGGTATTACTTATGAATGGAAGGATTTTGGTGAGTATTTTGTTCGTCGCAATCAGCCGACAATTCAGATATGTCGACCAGCTGTCCGGAAAAGCACCAGACGGCCGTTTCGCCCTATTGGGGCTCATCAGTGGTGCGCATCCTTCGGTCCTCTGTGGAGGATCGAATCCATGACTGCTAGTGGCTCTTGCCAACTAGCCCGCAGCTTATGCAACTGCGCCATGGAGGACGGTATCTAACTATCGTGAATTGTTAGCTAAATGCGATATAGCCCGACGCATCCTCCACTGCCATGCAGGCACCTGCCATGCAGATGACAGCGGTCGGCCTTCCGGCGTCAGGACTTCCCGGTTACGGCAGCTATGAATCGACATAGCATTTTGTGGAATCCGTACGGGCGAATTGGTATTACTTATGAATGGAAGGATTTTGGTGAGTATTTTGTTCGTCGCAATCAGCCGACAATTCAGATATGTCGACCAGCTGTCCGGAAAAGCACCAGACGGCCGTTTCGCCCTATTGGGGCTCATCAGTGGTGCGCATCCTTCGGTCCTCTGTGGAGGATCGAATCCATGACTGCTAGTGGCTCTTGCCAACTAGCCCGCAGCTTATGCAACTGCGCCATGGAGGACGGTATCTAACTATCGTGAATTGTTAGCTAAATGCGATATAGCCCGACGCATCCTCCACTGCCATGCAGGCACCTGCCATGCAGATGACAGCGGTCGGCCTTCCGGCGTCAGGACTTCCCGGTTACGGCAGCTATGAATCGACATAGCATTTTGTGGAATCCGTACGGGCGAATTGGTATTACTTATGAATGGAAGGATTTTGGTGAGTATTTTGTTCGTCGCAATCAGCCGACAATTCAGATATGTCGACCAGCTGTCCGGAAAAGCACCAGACGGCCGTTTCGCCCTATTGGGGCTCATCAGTGGTGCGCATCCTTCGGTCCTCTGTGGAGGATCGAATCCATGACTGCTAGTGGCTCTTGCCAACTAGCCCGCAGCTTATGCAACTGCGCCATGGAGGACGGTACCTAACTATCGTGAATTGTTAGCTAAATGCGATATAGCCCGACGCATCCTCCACTGCCATGCAGGCACCTGCCATGCAGATGACAACGGTCGATCCTCCACAGAGGACCGAAGGATGCGCACCACTGTTGAGCCCCAATAGGGCGAAACGGCCGTCTGGTGCTTTTCCGGACAGCTGGTCGACATATCTGAATTGTCGGCTGATTGCGACGAACAAAATACTCACCAAAATCCTTCCATTCATAAGTAATACCAATTCGCCCGTACGGATTCCACAAAATGCTATGTCGATTCATAGCTGCCGTAACCGGGAAGTCCTGACGCCGGAAGGCCGACCGCTGTCATCTGCATGGCAGGTGCCTGCATGGCAGTGGAGGATGCGTCGGGCTATATCGCATTTAGCTAACAATTCACGATAGTTAGATACCGTCCTCCATGGCGCAGTTGCATAAGCTGCGGGCTAGTTGGCAAGAGCCACTAGCAGTCATGGATTCGATCCTCCACAGAGGACCGAAGGATGCGCACCACTGATGAGCCCCAATAGGGCGAAACGGCCGTCTGGTGCTTTTCCGGACAGCTGGTCGACATATCTGAATTGTCGGCTGATTGCGACGAACAAAATACTCACCAAAATCCTTCCATTCATAAGTAATACCAATTCGCCCGTACGGATTCCACAAAATGCTATGTCGACTCATAGCTGCCGTAACCGGGAAGTCCTGACGCCGGAAGGCCGACCGCTGTCATCTGCATGGCAGGTGCCTGCATGGCAGTGGAGAATGCGTCGGGCTATATCGCATTTAGCTAACAATTCACGATAGTTAGATACCGTCCTCCATGGCGCAGTTGCATAAGCTGCGGGCTAGTTGGCAAGAGCCACTAGCAGTCATGGATTCGATCCTCCACAGAGGACCGAAGGATGCGCACCACTGATGAGCCCCAATAGGGCGAAACGGCCGTCTGGTGCTTTTCCGGACAGCTGGTCGACATATCTGAATTGTCGGCTGATTGCGACGAACAAAATACTCACCAAAATCCTTCCATTCATAAGTAATACCAATTCGCCCGTACGGATTCCACAAAATGCTATGTCGACTCATAGCTGCCGTAACCGGGAAGTCCTGACGCCGGAAGGCCGACCGCTGTCATCTGCATGGCAGGTGCCTGCATGGCAGTGGAGGATGCGTCGGGCTATATCGCATTTAGCTAACAATTCACGATAGTTAGATACCGTCCTCCATGGCGCAGTTGCATAAGCTGCGGGCTAGTTGGCAAGAGCCACTAGCAGTTATGGATTCGATCCTCCACAGAGGACCGAAGGATGCGCACCACTGATGAGCCGCAATAGGGCGAAACGGCCGTCTGGTGCTTTTCCGGACAGCTGGTCGACATATCTGAATTGTCGGCTGATTGCGACGAACAAAATACTCACCAAAATCCTTCCATTCATAAGTAAACATACTGTTTGCCCATTTGAGTGCTTGTGTTTGGTTACTCCAGTCCTATGACGTTACTTTACACTTTGTAGGTCCGAAGCATATCCCGAAGTGTGCACCACCATCGTCGGCGATTCAATTGCACTTACTTAGGCCCGACCCAAAGGGAGCCAACTCGCCACCTACTGTAAATTTACCAGTTGCTCATTGTATAGACCTAAGTACTACCATCGCAATGAGGCTGGACCTTACCATGGTGCGATGGTTTGTGTGCCTCAATGATCCACTGAGCTACACTGGGTGGTGCATTTTTTTGCACCTTCAGAGCCACTCATACCAGATTGGTCAATGGTTAGAGGCCAGACAAACTCAGCCTCCTGGTCCTCCAGGTTGGGGGTTGGAATGAGGATGGCTCCTTTTTCCTTAAAACGGACTCTTTGTAGCCCAATGCCAAACCCGCTGCCTTGCGGCCAGGTTTTTGAACCAAAGGCTTTGGTTGAAAACCCTAATCGTTCTCCTGTCTAGGCCTGGGCAAGCTGACAGTATCCTGCCCACGCAATACAATGAATCACACTTCAAACAAATTTCTGATGCTCTGGCCACCGCAGAGGATAATCAACGGTGCCCTATCTGCTGCATCGGGCAGGGTGGATAGGTGTTTGGATGCTACTGCTCAAGCCTTCCCGTCTTCTTATTCCCCCTCTTGCGCTTTTTCACCCTTATCGACCCGTTCCAGCTTCACTTTTATCCCCCCTGTTTTCAACCCCCCAATTCTCGGCCCTCCTCCACCTTCCTTCAATAGTCGCTTGTCTTTTAGTTTCAACTCACATGTGAACGCGCAGCGTCATTCCTGCACTGTCAACTGGCTCATGTCCAACCAAGCG